TTTTGTAAAGCCTTTTAATTTTCATCCATTGAACATTTTTCTCTGACATTGTAGTTGTTGCTTGCTTCTTGGAACTAACTGGAAACTGGCATCCAGTAAATTATATCCATTCAAGAAGAAGCCTACCCAATCCATGTTTAAAGCAAAACGTCCTCTTCCCTGGCCCCAAGTGACTCTGGCTTTGGGTTATGATAAGCGTGTTGAACTGGATCCACACAAGAGAGCAATGCATCATCTAAATAATGCTATGAGTGGGTACTAGCATAGACAGGTAGAACAAAAAAAACCAAGGTAGTTTAAATTGCTTAATTGTGATCCTTCAAGTGAGTTTTTCCTTTCATGATTGACCTACTTTAATAATTCTCTTTTGACAAGTTAATTTGGTTATCTAACTGAAAGCAAGTACCATCAAAATGAAGACTACAGAAATGAATAATTAGAGACAGAAGGTTGTTTTAGTTACCATATTTATTGCTTTTGTTTGGAATTATATGACTCCTTATGCCCGAGGATCTATGTTCATGTCCCTAGCATTCTTGTTTTATTGCCGGTCAGAGAAGCCCAAAAAATAGCAGGACATTCAGGAAGGCAGTATCGATTATATTTGGAAAGCAAAAGCTGAAACTCTCCCAACATTACATTTGGCAGAATGAGTAGCATCCTAGACAAGAGAAACTCTGAAAAAACATCCTTTTAAAGTTCAAGTAAGACTAAGACTTAAAACATTTGTTTCTACTTATTAAAGTTTAAGTGTTATCTCAGGATGATAGTTATAGGTTTCAGCTCATTTTTTAAAAATCACATCAACTGAATCTTACTTAAATAAGAGCACTGGTGAACTACACTGGAGGTTTCTTCATTAGCCTGTGGTCTGGCATGGGATAATTTATATTCATTTATTCTACATATTTTCTCTGAGGAGATGTGGAATTGAACATAGAAAAAAAGTTTTCTTCAATATTACATGATTCAGCTTCTGGAGACAACCAGGAATTAAACAAAACCCTGAATATAGTCATCATTCTCTTTTGGTGATTGGTGTTTTACCTTCCTGTTGCTGGACAAGACCATTTTTTATCACATCGTTATCTGATAAATAACTCAAGGGTGACAAACATATATAATATTCCCATATCCTCCTATTTTTCCCAAAACAATCATGTGAGATGAGTTGGGCGGAGACAGACTGACTAGCTCAAAGTCACGCAGCAACCTTCCATGTCCAAGGTGAGACTAGAACTCATGTTCTCCCAGTTTCTAGCCTAGTGCCTTAACTAAAAGTGGTTCTGACATGCTTAGAATGTATTTATCTGGCCAAAGGAAACCTGTAAATTTGTATAGAAAAATATGACACTGTATCATTAATTTAAGCATAAGCAATTCTGCACTTGTCTGTCTTTCCTCAAATCTGATCCTTCTTGTAAGTTATTTTCCCCACATTTGTGTTAGCCATAAACTGAATGCAACCCATTACAAGTACAGTGGGGCAAAAAAGTATTTAGTCAGCCACCAATTGTGCAAGTTCTCCCACTTAAAAAGATGAGAGAGCCCTGTAATTGTCATCATAGGTAGATCTCAACTATGAGAGACAAAATGAGAAAACAAATCCAGACAATCACATTATCTGATTTGGAAAGAATTTATTTGCAAATTATGGTGGAAAATAAGTATTTGGTCACCTACAAACAAGCAAGATTTCTGGCTCTCACAGACCTGTAACTTCTCTTTAAGAGGCTCCTCTGTCCTCCACTCATTACCTGTATTAATGGCACCTGTTTCAACTTGTGATCAGTATAAAAGACACCTGTCCACAACCTCAAACAGTCACATTCCAAACTCCACTATGGTGAAGACCAAAGAGCTGTCGAAGGACACCAGAAACAAAATTGTAGACCTGCACCAGGCTGGGAAGACTGAATCTGCAATAGGCAAGCAGCTTGGTGTGAAGAAATCAACTGTGGGAGCAATAATTAGAAAATGGAAGACATACAAGACCACTGATAATCTCCCTCAATCTGGGGCTCCACGCAAGATCTCACCCCGTGGGGTCAACGTGATCACAAGAACGGTGAGCAAAAATCCCAGAACCACACGGAGGGACCTAGTGAATGACCTGCAGAGAGCTGGGACCAACGTAACAAAGGCAATCATCAGTAACACACTACGCCACCAGGGACTCAGATCCTGCAATGCCAGACGTGTCCCCCTGCTTAAGACAGTACATGTCCGGGCACATCTGAAATTTGCTAGAGAGCATTTGGATGATCCAGAAGAGGATTGGGAGAATGTCATATGGTCAGATGAAACCAAAATAGAACTGTTTGGTAGAAACACAACTCGTGGTGTTTGGAGGAGAGAGAATGCTGAGTTGCATCCAAAGAACACCATATCTACTGTGAAGCATGGGGGTGGTAAAGGGACCAGGACGACTGATTTCTCTGCAAAGGGACCAGGACGACTGATCCGTGTACAGGAAAGAATGAATGGGGCCATGTATCGTGAGATTTTGAGTGCAAACCTCCTTCCATCAGCAAGGGCATTGAAGATGAAACGTGGCTGGGTCTTTCAGCATGACAATGATCCCAAACACACCGCCTGGGCAACGAAGGAATGTCTTCGTAAGAAGAATTTCAAGGTCCTGGAGTGGCCTAGCCAGTCTCCAGATCTCAACCCCATAGAAAACCTTTGGAGGGAGTTGAAAGTCTGTGTTGCCCAGTGACAGCCCCAAAACATCACTGCTCTAGAGGGGATCTGCATGGAAGAATGGGCCAACATACCAGCAACAGTGTGTGCCAACCTTGTGAAGACTTACAGAAAACGTTTGACCTCTGTCATTGCCAACAAAGGATATATAACAAAGTATTGAGATGAACTTTTGATATGGACCACATACTTATTTTCCACTATAATTTGCAAATAAATTCTTTCCAAATCAGACAATGTGATTGTCTGGATTTGTTTTCTCATTTTGTCTCTCATAGTTGAGGTCTACCTATGACAATTACAGGCCTCTCTCATCTTTTTAAGTGGCAGAACTTGCACAATTGGTGGCTGACTAAATACTTTTTTGCCCCACTGTACTTATTTTGATATGAAGTGTTTGCAGAAATTCTCTATAAATTCTGAAAATAAAACAAGGCATTATTCATTTGGCAAGCTACAAGAACAAAAAGGAAAAGGAGGGAAAATGAAATGAAAAACAGATGGATTCATTAATATTAATTTATAAAAGCTGAGTGTGAAAGTAAAATAATTCTGCCATTGCTCTTAATAAAAACAGGGGCATTGCAGTAAATGATCTTATAGATGATATGTGCCAGCACGTAGGATCATGGTCATTTCCACTTGGAGAAAAATTCTAAGATCAGACTGCACGTATTGTATCCAGCCAAATTCAGCCTACCTGTAAGGACCCACCTCACTTTGCATCTTAAGAAACTCTTGGAATAGTTCTTCCAACAGGCATCCTTTATTAAGAGAAAATGGTTGCAGGTGTTCTAGACAGGACTTGGGGTCCAAGCTCTCCCATTCAAGGTTTTAAGGGGTTCCCCAGTAGCCCCACCCAATCACCCCCTTCTTCCAGTGACAGTCTCAGGCATTACACTCCCACCCCCTTTTCCTTACTGCCGGCGGGAGGGAGACTTAAGAGAGGAGTACATGAAAGGTAATAGCCCCATTGTTATGGTTAGTCCTTTTGGTGATATCCACATCCAGTCCCTTTGAAGTGTACTGAAGGAAGTGAGGGCCATAAAGCCCCTTTGTTCACCCCCTTCCCTTCATTGTATGACAGAATCCAGAGAAGGCAGAAATGGGGTTTTCTATAGTTGATAACTAGAGATGAAATATAATTGGATTCTGACACTACCATTATACTATGGACACTTGATGGTATTTTGATGAACAGTAATAGTGGATGAACTTTTTAATTGTGATGGATATAAATCAATCTGTTGGTGCCATAGGGCATACTCTGGAAAAACTGAATGGCTTGTTTGGAAAGGACTTATTTTTTTAAAAGCATAATGTTTTTTTTAAAAATTATCTGTTAGATCATTTAAATCTTCATGGCTAAAGATGAACCTGAACCTGAGCCAGTTCATGACTAGAACTACACTGAACCACTACACTACAATGAAAACTGAAAAATACAGTAAGTGAACCAGAAGACTTTATCCATCTTCTCAAAGCAAACCACATGCTTTCCCCCATCCACTCACTATTCTTATATCAAACATAAAATTAAAGTAACAAACATAATTAATAGGTAAATTAAAACAATTCATGTGACAAATTAAATCCCTTTAAAAAATAGCACAACTTCTTTAATTAAAATATTAGTGAAACCTGGCTTTCATTAGCTTTTGATATGAAAGTACCTGTCTTGGTGTAGCTGTTTGTCTTGAAACCTATTGACCCAAGATTTGAATAGGTCACTGCATTTACAGATATTTTTGCAGCACTGAAAAATGCCCTACATCATTTATGTTATGCAAAATTAACCTCAATACAAGTCGCTAATACAGTAAAGTGTGCAGAATAATTAGTACAAAGCAAAAAAAACCCCAAAACTTAAACTTATAGTGCTCTGAAACCAATACTCGGAACAGCACTAGAAGATAGCCTACGAGATGGCGGTACAATATAATAACACCACTAATAGCAATTATTTGAAATGAACAAGAGTGGTTTTTTTTTAAATCATTTATGGCCTGGATTCTTTATCCACAAACTGGAGCACCACCACAGATATTTTTGTAAAATATGACCGGTGCTAAAACATTTCTGGAATGGATAGAAGAGTGTAAGAATATTTCTGGGAAGAAGGAATATTCTGTTTTAAACTTGAAACAACTATTATTACAGTGCAAAATATTTTGAATACAAATCACCTCACATAGCCCCAGTATGTGCAATCTTTTATGATGGTCATTTTGGTAGTAAATGGAAGCAAGGAATGATGAAGCCTGAAATCTCAAAGAAAAACAATGAAACATCAAATGTCAGCATAAATCACAAATTTATTAATTCTTAAATATATCTGTCAGTTCTTTACCATTATGGCAGGAGATATATATCTATATATCTATATCAATATATCAATATATAGATACACGCGCGCACACACACACACATATGTACATATATATGCATACACACATATATATGTGTACACACAGAGACATATATGTATAAACACACAAATACCTATACACTGTCTCATAGTAAACTGCAGTGTATTAAAATGGCAAAAATTAGATGTATAATTCAGGTGGAGTGCAGAGAACTAACTCACATTGTATTTCTCACATCTCAGTGTGGAAGACAGACGATCTAGAATAATATGGCATCACTGCATGCTATGGTAAAAGAGTAAAAAAAAATCTATGCCATATTTCTATAACGTAAAAATACATTAATGCCACCTAAATCTGCTTCACAAAAGAAATTTATTAATAAAAATTATGCATGAGGCCATTATCTTTTCACAGATCCCACTAGCAGATTAATATGGCTTAAGACAATTACTGATGATTGTTCTCAATACTTCTGTGGGTTGAAAGTATATAATAACTATCATCAGAAAAGCTTAAATTTTTCTAACATAATGTTTACAATATCAAGGTATAAAGAATAAGATCCACTTTTGATTAATAATCAGTATAGAGAAATGAAAGTTATACAAATTGGGACTTTTTTTCCTCTGTCTTTAAAAATTTTCAAGCTGTTATAAGTTGTAAATTTTTATTTACCAAAAAGAATATTAATCAAAATATCATGCGCTATACAGTGTTACGAAAATTGATTGCCCCACTTAATGAAAGAAAAATATTTTAATAAGAAAGAAAAGTATTAATACATTTTTTTAAGAAAAACTGAAATAGAAGGAGCAGTACTTTTGGAAATATAATTTTATATTTATATAAGAAAAGCAAACAAACATCCAAATAATGTGTTCAACTGCTTGTTTTGCAGGTATACATGCAGTAATAGACATTTGAGGGACTTTGACATGTAGGAAAATGAAGAAATTAATAAATCTACAATTACTGTTTTATTTCAGACTTTCAAGGCTGTCAACAAGCCATGAAAAATGGATAAATTACTGTTAAATTTGACAACATTATTAGAAAACAGGTGTTTCCTGGTAATAAATTGATACAAAGAAAATTTAGACTTCTGATACTAAGCTTTTAAGACCTAATTGTTCTAGATTGCTACACATCTTATTAGAATATCAGTTAAAAAATCCTCTACATCTTGCTTTAATAAATGTACTGTACATCCAAAAAATGATTAAGAAAAGTTTTATTTTACCCATAAGCTATATCATCAGAAGCTACATTGAATCTGTTTACTGTTTGGCTTCTGAAAGCTAAAAATGCTGTTTTTTTTCCTCAAAATGATGCTGAATAAGCAATTAGAAAAGAAAGAAAAAACTATTTGCCGTTACATTTCCTGAACAAATGACTGCAGTGACAAATTATTCTTGTTAAAGTCAAATCTGTAAATTTTCTCCTTTTTTCTTCTTCTTCCAGTTATACATAGTGAATCCTAGCAAAGGCAGCTTCCCAAGATCTCAAACCAAAATGCTTTGGTCTAAGTCACTATGTCTACCATACATCTTACATTAAAGATGCTGTTTGTAGGAATTTTATTAATCCTTCTATGACACAAGGATTAGGCAACAACCTTTAAAAACAAATGACTCAGAAAAGAATAAAAATTAAAACAAAGTTAATTATTTTTAACCTTTGTTTTTATAGGGTGCACATGCAGATGATATTTGTATTTTGGCTGGAGATGTATAGTCTGAATATACTCTCACATTTCAATTTTTCCCTTTATACTTTATTCTTGTACCTCTCTTTCCAACTGCCATGAAACATTTCCTTCAGTGAAGGGTAAACAAAAGCTATCAATGGAATATACAACAAAATGATGCAATCACTTGAAGAAACTTCACAGCTTCATGCACTCGGAGAACATGCATGAAGAGAGCCAAGGGATGGCCCAGGGGAGCCAACCAAGTGCGGAGTGCGCGGACACAAAGTGGGTGGCACTGACATTAGCTAAAAGACAACAAGCAGAGAGGGGGGGGAGGGAGGGAGAGAAAGGGGAAAAAAGGAATGAATTATTAATTCATTAATTATTTTGTGCTAAATCTAGGGAATATTTTTCAAACAAACTTATTTTTATTGTTCATTAAAAAGACCCAAACAAATCAAATGTCAAACCTATTTTCTTCTTCACATATTAATATTGAGTATAAATATTTATATTCAAATACTTATATTATTTTTTAAAAAAATAAGGAAAACTGATTTAAGTTTGTACAAGAGGATTTTTTTGCACCTTGCTATTAACAATTATTGGGTAATAATCTACATCATATTCAGACAACCGATTCAATTCTATTGATACTGGTGTTGTGATTTCTGTATGAACATTAGAGTATTATAAACCCACTACTTCTTGATTGTAATGAAGGAAATTAAAAACATGTGAACAGAGGTTAAATCCTTCCTGAACATTATTTAGCAAGCCAGGAATGAACATGAAGGTCACTCAACAGAAGACAGAATACTGTACTCTAATCAAGACTCCCTATGCTCAGACACCACATTCTGAAATTGTTGCATAGTTTTGAACCTCAATTGATCTTTGAAAACTTTTTTCTTATTTCTGGTACTTTTTGGCAATACATCTGGAGATTTGGTTTGAAGGGTTATGTCATGCTAAATCATTTTTAGTCTGAAGCTATGAAACAGATGGAGCTCTCAGATTTTTATTCATTTGTTGACACAATACGTAATAATTTGTGGTTATTTCCACAGCCAAATTAATATCACAACATTCATCTGTTACAGCCTAGTCAACTCAAATCTGTTCTTGAATCTGTGACTGTTCATTGAAGCAAATTCTAAGAAATAATCTGTCATCTTTCCCAAAGCTGATTTGATAAATATAAGAAAGATACAAAGTGAAAATTATTCTTGTGATCTTTTTTGCTTGGCTACATCCAATATGCCCCTAATTCCATTAATTCCCACTGTCTCAGTATGGTTTATTTTATGCAAAATGGCACTGAATACTTATTCATGCTTTGCAAATATACCATATTTTATTACAATCTATTTATTTTAATTCTTTAATGTTGTGAGTTGCTAAGGGCAGAGCTCTACTGAAAAATAATATGCAAATCACTGGTGATGTAAATATGGGGCTTTATTTATTTGACAGTATTTTTATACTGCCCCAACTGATACAGATGCTGTGTGGTGTAAAATAAATCGCTTCAAATTCTCAGAGATGATTAGTTTGAGTAGAATTGGCAAAGAAAAACGTGGAATGAGAAAAATACAAAAGATAAAATGGATGCAATGATGCAACAAAGGTCTAAACCTAGTTATGTAGAAAAGTTGCAATGAGGGGACACAGATCCATTACTCACTTGATAGGGACGGTTGGTGATCCTGAACGGTGAAAGTGAACATTTTGCCATTTTCCATCCCGGCGGTGCCAAACCCGTGTCTCTTCTGACTGCATCGTTTTTGGCATTCCACTTCCATCCATATATTGAGTCAGTCGGATATATGCAATGCAGGCAGCATCATCCCCTACCAGGTGGACATGGGGATTCAGGATAATGGTGTGGACTGGCTTGTTGCTCTTAGACAAAGCTATGGAAGGAAAGACATATTATATCTAAACCCTTCATGCACAAAACAGTTGCACTCCAGATCATCAGATCCCTCTTAGGATCAAAGAAAAAGAAATTCTGAGCAGCCACCGATAAACTCATCTAAAATTCTAAGGATTGTGTTCACAGAGTAAAAGCATCAATGAATATATCACACGGCAATGTATGTTTATTGGCACAGGAGATCTTAATTACATAGTGAGTAGTTAAAAACATTAATTCTTGACCAAATTAGGTGAGGATCAAAATTGGATCTATGACATTTTAAATATTGTCCACCTGTTGCAGCCTAAAACATTCCTCACGTGCTCTGAACAGGGGTATTTTTGTTGTGAAATATGCCATTACTGGGTCAAATTATAAATTATTCTGCTGAATGAGTCTGCAGTTCCTGCCATCTTATTTATTTATGGTTTTGTTTTTCTCCTTTAGAGAGATTGGTATAGACTTAAAACTTATCAAAAAAATAAAATCCAAAGTTATTTTCTAGGACACTTACATACAGTAATAGCAAATAGGTTTCAACTTTAGGGCTCTGAAATGCCAAACATCTGGTGACTACCATTATGAAGCTGGGTTCCCCTCCCCCAAACCCTGGAGATATACTGTAGCAGTTGGAAGAAGCAAAGAGAACAATAAAACTAAAACACTGGTTTTCAGTTTGGTTTTCACTGACAACACCATAGGTTTTCCATTCTATATACAACTAGACAACCCAAGATCCCTTGGGTCATCCTTTCAGAGATATTTCCTTACCAAATTCCTCAATGTCTCCAACAATGACAAAGCCTCTAATAAGTACATTTAAGGTATGTTGGTTCAAAAGGTTTTGTTTATGCCACACCATTTTGCCCACGTAAAGGTTATAAGAAAAAGAGTTTTGGTAGTATATTGATGGGTTGCTTCCAACATAAAACATGAACGTTTTTTTTACAACACCTGTATGAATGTTATTCTAATATTTCAGAGTGTTAAAATTACTGTATAATTTATAGTTTATACAAACTCATTTAAGGAACACTGTGTATCTTCAACTCACATCTTCATTTTACAGATATAAAATATACAATGTTCAGATTAATTGATTTGGTTTACAAATAGCTTCAGGCTGCTGATAGATAACATCTTGCTTTTCAATTATCAGGAGCAGTAATATCTTTTTTAAAAAATCAAACTAAAATGTAATCGTTGCTAATACTATCTGAACATATTAGTTTATAAGAGCTTGTTTGTTCACATTATAATCCAATTTCCTGAGTACAGAACATGAATATAAAGCTTATTGAGTAGCACATGTAGTCATCATTTCCCAAAACTAAATTATTTTTATGCCCAAAGGTCTCCTTCAGTCATTTACTTTTCTATTTGGTTTCCCTATGTGAAGAACTATGCATTAGATTTGGTCAAATTTCATCTTATCATCTCATTTTTCTTTATCTAGAGGAAATCATTTCCTAAAGTATTTATTTATTTACTCAATTAATTAATTGGCTGCCCTTCAAGGTAATTCTGGATGGCTTACAATCAGAAATACAGTCCTTTCTGGTTGTAAGCAAAATCAATTTCTACTCAAGCAACAGTTTTGACACACCCTAAACAACTTTTTGAGAGTAGAACCTATGAAGACCTATGCTTCTGCTCTGAACCCACCAAAACAAAAACATTTATTTTTTCTGGTGATGTAATTATTTTTCAAGTGATGTTACTTGCGACCCTTCAGTGGGTTGGGGAAACTAACTGTGGCCCTTGATCGAAGAAATTTTGCCTCCCAATATAAGTTAATTCCTTAAATTATCTGAATTTGCTGACTTTAAAAAAGGGTTGGACCAATTCACGGAAGTCATAAGGATCAATGGGTATTAGCGTTGATGGCAATGTGAAGGCCATCCGCTGGGAGATCACTTTTTGTACTGTGAAAACTGTGAGAACATAGTGCCGGAAAAGATGGAGCAGGGATCTGATCCAGCTGGGAACTGCTTATGTTCCTGTAGATATGATTAGCTATGCAGATGGCCGTCAACTTACAAGAGTTCATTTAGTTACCATTCAAAGTTACAATGGCACTGAAAAAAGTAACTTATGACCGCTTTTCACTTACAAACTTTGCGGCATCTCCATGGTCACATGATCAAAGTTAAAATGCTTGACAACTGACCCATATTTATGACAGTTGCAGTGTCCCAGAGACATATGAACACTTTTTAATGACCTTCTGACAAGCAAAGTCAATGGGGAAACCAGATTCACTTAACAACTATGTTACTGACTTAACAATTTCAGTGATTCACTTAACAACTGTGGCAAGAAGAGTCCTAAGTTGGGATAAAACTCACTTAACAAATGTCTTGCTTAGCAACATAAATTTTGGGCTCAACTGTGGTCATAAGTTGAGAACTACCTGTATATGAACTTTGTAACATTAATCTAAAAGGTTTGACTCAAAAACATAAACATCAGGTAACAGCTTACCATTTTCAAAATAAAACCGGTGGAAGTCCATCCCTTCTACAAGATTTCCCAAAGCTTCAGGCTCAAATGAGGTCAGACCAGGATCACAGATTTTCCTACAAAGTAAAGGAAAAAAAAAATCTCCTGTACACATTATGCGAGAAAAATGAAAAGCCATTATCTACATGCAGGACATCTTACAAAGTCTCAGTTCTTTCTTTAAATCCTGAATTTCTTGTGGTCCCCTTGGAGAACCACAGCTTTAAGGCACTAGTTTTGCCTTGAAAAAGAGCTGTCCTGGTGCTTTTTCTACTCCTTTCTTTGAAACACACACACACACACACACACACACACTCTGACACAGTAGGTGAAGCCTGCTCTGAGATTGCTGATAGCTGAAAATGTCCTCAGCTGAAAGTGCCTTCAGGAGCTCTTCCATCTCCCATTAATGCATGCATTTCTGCAACAGGAAACACTAAGGATGCTACTAGATGAAAATGTTCCAAGAATGTTCTGTTGCACCTTTGACCCACTTCTCTCTTTTCTATTTTTTTTAAACAAGTTTTATTAATTTTCCAATTTTACAAAAATCCAAGTATTAAGGAAGCAACATGGTGATTGGGTAATCCATAATCCAGTAACAAGCTCTTTCATACATATGTCAGGTTACATCATCAAAAATTTCCTCTCTGTTTCCCTTGGTTATTATATCACATTCAAATTAATACATTGCTAGTTATAACTCAATTGGTTAAGACATTTATCAATTTATTTAACTTATACGCATCCATGTCCTGTTTTTAAATTTTACCTAATTTCAATTACAGTATTCCAGTTAGCTTAATATCCATAGTATTTAGATTTTGGGTAACCCAAAGTTCCCTTAGTTCATTACAAAATAGTTGTCATATCTAAAATACACTTATTATTTACTCGAATAAATTCTTACTTTATTTCACAAACATATTCTATTTCTCATCCTAGTACCTCATCATCTACTAATAAAATAACCTTTACCGTCTCAATCCAACTTCTATATTATAATTCAAAACTATTATTCTAGTGGCTATTTTTTATTTCCCTTATAAGTCTAAATCCTAAATATTAAATCAGTTAGTATCTTTTAAAGTCTCCTTAGCCCATTAAATGAGATTTTAAGCTTTCCATTATAAGTCACATAAACAATCCCATTTTTAAAGTCTAGCTCTAGCTTTCTTTTTGTGCCAAGCAGGCTTCCATAGCAATGCCTTTAAATCCTCAGGTGGCTCTCCCTTCATTCCTACACATTATTTAAATCAAGGGAGACCATCCAATTATCAATTTTTCAAGGGAGCTGGCCCCTTCATAATCATTGGATTGTTGGCCTAATAATTCAAATCTCCATGTTTGGCTTAGTAGATTTGTCGTCAGTTCAGTCTGGTCTTCTTCTTCTTCTGGTTTCAGCTGGTTTAAGTAAAAAGTCATGTTCAATGTTGTAATTGTTGTCTGGGTTGTCTAGGTTCTCAATGTGCTGTACATGTTGGTCTTCAGCATGTTCCATCTTAGTATTGCTTTCTTCAGTTTCTGTTGCTTTTTGAATTGCAGATTTTTTAGTTAAGATCAAGGTTTGGCTATCAGAGTTCTCAGTAGATTGTACCTGCTATTCTTTAAAGTCCACTTTGATGTTAATTTCTTCCTCTTCTGTTGCACTTTGGAATGTAAGTTGAAATCTGGGCTGCATTTTGTAACTTTAAGTTGGCGCCTTTATCTTTCAGTCTGGAATTCATTAGCTTAGTAGCCTCAAGGATTTTTCCAAGTATAAGTTTGTAGTTAAGTTATGGGTAGTATTCCTCCATCTCTATGGTATTTATAGATAGTCCTATGGTGGAGGCTATTTTTGATAAAAGTCAATAAATGTCCATCTCCACTATAAAGAATTGTTTTCACCACCCAGCTGCTTCAAATTCTTACCTTTTTTGATAGTGCCAAGGATAAATCTTAGTCTCAGGTCTCCCAGTCAAAAAGAAATTCACTTGCTATACCACGTTTCACCACAAAATGTCCCCGGTAGTATGTAAAGTCTTTTCCCAAACTCAAGTTAGGCTTTTATCCAGTTTTTTTTAAAAAAATGTTCTTTTTTTTCAACTTAGCAGATAGATAAGGTAATAGGACCCCGTAGAAATAGGAACTTTTTGGGACCCCAAATATCCAAAAGGTGCTAGTCCAATTATTTAGTTGTTTAGTTTAGTTGTTCTTTTCTTTTTCTTTTTCCAAAGCTTTATATTCCCAGGGTAGGCAGAAGCCGCCAAGTTAAGAGGGGGGGAAGAAATTTCCAAAGGCTTTTACAGGAAGATAGTTGGGATACAATTATCTTAGGTAAGGTAAGGTCTCACCCAATTCCTCCGCAGTGCTTTCGTTGTGCTTGGTAGTGCTTTTGGCTTTTGGCTGGCACGGCTTAGTGATTGGCCATGTTAATGGCTGATCTTTTCTTCGTTGTTCCAAAGCAGCTGCCTCAGATCAAACGGAAGGGCTCCCACCCTTCCGCAATCTGTCGAGAGTCCTCCTCACAGTGGTCATCCCTCCAGGACGGCTTTTGACCCTTTTCAGGGTCTTCCGACAAAGGAAAACCAGATGGCGGAGAGAGCGCTCTCCCTGCACGTCCACCGGAGCCACGATTGCAAACTGGAAGCCTCTCTTTTCTAATTTTTGATGATATGTGTAAGCTGAGATAAACACTGCATAGATTACATGTCACTGTCTACAGTACATTTTGGAAATATATTAAATATATGAAAGTCTTTATGCTGAACACCATCTAATAATCCTGGTTGTGTGGTTTCTTACCAATCTGAGGCAGAAAATATAGGGAAATTTCAAACAGTTAAAAGAAAGAAGAATTTAACTTCTGTTCCCTGAAAGCAGAAAAATCCAATCTCTGTCCACAACTGTGATATAAACTTAAATAATGAGCTGATTTATTATAACCCTCAATACCCGCTGACCATTAAAATATCCTCTAGCTCGAATATGAGAAATTCTTTCTTCTTCTCCTCAATATGATCAAGAGAATAGCAATCACATTCTGGTTAAAACCACCAGTTTCTGGAAATATACTCTAACATTATACTGATATCCAAGCAAGAAAAAGCAGAATAGGGAGCAGAAAGAAACTTACGTGTAGGCTTCAAAATCCCCATTATTGATAGCTTCTATCAGCTGCTCGGTAACCTTGATGATCTCTTGTTTACGAACTGGAGACGAGAAAAAAACACGTACAATGACAAGATTAAATATAAAATGAAAGTCAATGGAACAAAAGACTATATGAATAACAGTCTCAATCATAGAGTTATCTCTGATCAATTATGATTGTCGTGCATTCAAACAGCCTCTGTAGTTCATCCTTTGCTGTTAACACAGCTACAAGTTGAGTTGCTTCCAATTTTATGTAACGGACTGACCTCTATATATATTTCTGTGTGGACAAATCAGAAGCAAGAATTGGAGATCTATGGCTTATCCCTTTTTATGCCTTCAGTGAATCTTGCAGCTTCAAAACTATTCAGAAAGGATGTAAAAAGGAAGCATGGATATAATAAGAATAATCCTTTGATGAGTTCCATGCATTTGACAGAATATCTTTCTGATACATCGTGCAGGTTATTTATTCTTATTCTCCTTGTAATTTCAAAGATGGATTGTACGGGATCTTTTGAAAGAGTCCTTAATTTCACATCATATAGACAGATTTAACTGTAGTTTAAACTCATTCCATGATGTTTGTCTATCTATCCATTACATAAAAACACACAAAAAAGAACAAGACTATTTGAATACTTTGTAGAAACTTAATCTTTATTCTTTTCTATGGGACCCTTTAATTGCAGCAATTATTTGCATTTTTAAATTTAAATAGGAATAATGTTAGACCATAATCATTCACACATAAATTGAGTGCAGGTACATTGGTTATGGCTGCTGATAGCACACAAACAATATCTTCCCTAGAGTAGGAGAAAGTATTATTACTCCTCTTCGCAATTTCTAAGAAAGACTGTTACACAAAGTGAGTTTTCTTACTCCCAAGAGAAGGTACATTTTCCTCAAGTGTAATTAGATACATTCCATTCCTCCTTAGTTTTCAGATCACTTTCTCCCCCCAATCCTGCAAAACTTTTTCTCATTCAATATATTGTAAAACAAGAAAAGGAAGATAGAATCAATGTTTTGATCAGGGCACTTAGCTCTGTCAAGAAGTATGTATGCTGTAGAGATAGATAGATAGATAGATAGATAGATAGATAGATAGATAGATAGATAGATAGATAGATAGACAGACAGAAAGACAGACAGACAGAAAGACAGATAGAAGCTTTAACATGGAGAACAACAATCAACAGAATCTCAGAAAAGGAGGAGTAAAACAATGTGTCTAGTACTATTAAACAATGAAAATTCATTCATAGAGTAAAATACACAGAATACATTTGTTGTTGCTGAAATTACTTGCTCAAAAGATCCTATGTGGAAGAGATTTTTGAAATCAAGGAGAGGAAGCAAACATATTGAATACACTCTCTTCATTACTAGTAATTATTTGTAAAAAAAAAAAAAACAATAAAGGAGGGATAGAAATAAATAAAAAATAAAATATATATTTTCAACTTTGGGTACCTTGCAATTCTTTGCAAGTTTGTGAGCTGCAGAATGGTTTACACAAAATATATGAAATAAAATTGTATGACTCTATAGGATAAACACATTTCCATCCAACAAAATGCATCATTTATTTATTTTTAATATTTCTATCCTGCAGCAATCAAACAATATTTAATTGCTTTGATATGAACAGAAATAAAACATCCAGTGAGGCTAATACCAATCTAAACAGTTACAGTATTCAAAGCAATAGCTATATTAACCCCACACGTAAATAAAAGATTACAAAAATGATCAAAAAGAAAATAAATAAACAAGGAACGTATCTATGGAGATTCTCAGTCACCCAAAGGTGGACTTTCTTGTTTTTCTTTGAAGACATTTTGCTTCTCATCCAAGAAACATCTTCAGTTCTGACTGGATGGTGGAGAATGGAAGGGAGCTTCTTAGATGAGCAAAACATCTTCAAAGAAAAACAAAGTCCAGTTGCCTCTTGAAAAAGTGTTTTTGGAATAAAAAAGCAACAGAAAGCATAATATTTGGAGTTTGGACTACCACACATGATAAAAGCCAAGGGCCTCACATGGAATGTGTCTCATTCTGCATCAACCTAACCTCTAATCAAGACATTAGAGCAGTGGTTCTCAACCTGTGGGTTGCAACCCTTTTGGGGGTCGAACAACGCTTTCACAGGGGTCGCCTAAGACTATCGGAAAACACATATTTCCGATGGTCTTAGGAACCGAGACACCGCTCCTCTATCCGGCCACCGCCACTGCCCTCCTCCGACGGCTCCTCTGCCTCCAGGGCACCCTTCTCCTCCAACAGCACCTGCTCCTGCTGCCGCAGCGCCATCGCGCACGCCCTGGGAGGCTCAACTGCGTGGGCGGCCGGGCTGAGCCGAACAGCCAAGATTCAGGATTTGTCCTTTCTCTAATTCTGGCTTTCCAAGAGACAGTAAAAAGTGTTCTCTGGCCCTCTCAGATGTGAACAGAGCCTCTTTTACACACCATAAATCAATGCTTGGCTGCCCTGTTAAGCCATCCAAGCAGAAAACTGTCTTTAGCCAGACAAACAATGACTTATTTAGAGGAAAATTACTGAAGGCTGCTGCTGGGTTGCTCTGCTGCTGCCGCCGCTGCTGGCTGAGCTGAGCTGTGGCGCCGAGCTGGTCCCCACGCCTCCCGGTTGACCGGCCGTGCTCTGCCCCGGCCGTGCTCTGCACCGCGCTGGAGTCTCCCCTGTGCCGCTTGGCCCGCCTCCCTTGCCGCCTGGCCCGCTTCCCTTGCCATTGGAGGCCGCCTTGGCCCTCTGGTGCCTGGCACGGCCCTGGGGCTGGTGGGCAGCAGCGGCTCCTTCCCAGCTCGCCAGGCTCCGGGCCTTGGAAGCGGCCAGGCAGTGGCGATGCCCGCATGTGCGTCGGATGCCAGCCGGCTGGGCCGGGAGAAGCGGCGCCTTCTGAGCGGGAGCTGGTGCTCCGGCCGCACCCCTCTCACATGCGATGAGTCGGGGAAGGGTCGTGGCGGTGAAAGGCTGCGTGGTGTGGAAAGGGGCTCCCGTACCCCCGCTGCTGCGATGGCGCTCAGGAGGTTGGAGGGGCAGGCAGGTCCTGGGGAGGCAGCTGGAAGAGGGCAAGAGGTGCCAGGATGAGGATGGGGGGCTCCAGATTGGCGGATGCAAGAGAGAGTCCTTCAATCTTCCTTCCTTCCTTTCCTCTTCAATCTCCTTCCTTCTCCATCTCCTTCCTTTCCCCTTCAATCTTCCTTCCTTCCTTTCCCCTTCAATCTCCTTCCTTCTCCATCTCCTTCTCTTCCCCTTCAATTTCTCCTTCCTTCCTTCCATCTCCATCCCTTCCACTTCAATCTTCCTTCCTTCCTTCCTTCCTTCCTTCCTTCCTTCCTTCCTTCCTTCAATCTCCTTCCTTCTCCATCTCCTTCCTTTCCCCTTTAATCTTCTTTCCTTCCTTCTCCTTCCCTCCCTCCCAATATTTTTGAGCAAGGAAGAGTAAGCTTCTCCAGTGAGCATTGCTATATTGTTTTTGTGATTAATCATTATGCTTTAATTATGTTCAATTCGTAACAATGATACACCCTGCGTATCAGATATTTACATTATGATTCATAACAGTAGCAAAATTACAGTTATGAAGTAGCAACGAAAATAATTTTATAGTTGGGGTCACCACAACATGAGGAACTGCATTAAAGGGTCGCGGCATTAGGAAGGTTGAGAACCACGGCATTAGAGAAATGTTCTTTCTTAAAGAAAAGTTAAATTATCCATAAAAAATAATTTTGTGAGGATTTTCTAACTCTTATAGAGTATTTTTTTCACAAAAGTCCATTTGGTGTCAACATAGTACCCCTATCAACATCATAAAAATGCTTATAATGTAGGCACTTGGCATGTACACAAATATTTAAATAAAGGCTTTAAGATATGTATATTTAATCATTAATAACTAAGACTCAAAACCAAAACCAATCTCAAATGGCACGAAAGTCTATCAATCCATGGACAATTTTCAAACTTACAAAGTAGCAACTGCAACTCAACTAGATAAATAGAGCTGACCAAGAAGTTAAGCTCTTTTACTCATTCAATATTTAGAAGAATTCTGAATCAAAACAATTATATTTGCTACTTCCAAGCATGAAATCCAGCAAAGTGAGAACTTTCCTCCATCATCCAAACAGATGTCTTATAAACATTGTGAAAAACAATTAAAATTTGGAAGAAATACAAGGACTTTAAGAATGTAGTGTATCACACCTGTGCTTCAGAGAGATGAAGATAAACTTTGAAGGCACAGAGTGTGGGTGTTGATGAAAGAGAGAAAGGGAATTGACTTGGAGAACTGAAAGAGAAACAAGTTGTGCATGAAAGGAAAGAAGCAACCTGGAACTAAGGAGAAACTTCCTAACAGTGAGGACAATTAACCAGTGGAACGGCTCATCATCAGAAGTTGTAGGTGTTTCATCATTGGAGGTATTTAAGAGACTGGACAGTCATTTGTCTGAAATGGTATAGGGTCTCCTGCTTGAGCAGGGGGTTGACTAGAAGATCTCCAAAGTCTCTTCCAGCTCTACTCTGTTTAAAATTGATTGAAAGAGCTGAAACTGAACATAAACCATATGGTGGAATGAGCAATGAGGCAGGTGAAGTGAGAAATACTGGGGCCTAACAACCTCACAAGCATTCTAAGATGTATACTAGTTACAACCAAGCAGCAATGAACAATTGATCCCCCCCCCCTAAAAAAAGTATAACCCAATAAGAATTGATAAGCAACCTCAACCTGCAACAGGACCTACTGAAATATGGGAGCTAGAAAGTGAAAAAATGCATGGCCAAGGAATATGATTCTCAGTCCTTAAAGGAGAAAACTAGAGAAAGAACTATGTTGTGGCAATTGAGAAAGTAATGTTTATTGAGTAATGTAAATAATATCCTTGTCACATGTCATATATACTCGAAACTTTTAGGTGTCCATATATACTCCAAAAATACGGTTTGGCTTATACACAAATAATAGAGACTATTAATTTTACATAAGTATATATAGTAGTTTTTTTCCTCAGCTTTTTAAAAA